TTTAATTTTAGACAAAAATAAAATAACAATATAAAATGTTTAAATTTGTTTAATAGCTCAACGTTTCGCCCTGTGGGCTTCCTCATCATCATCATCATCATCATCAATATCATTATCATCATCATCATCATCACATTTCGTAATGATTCGGCAGAGTCGGATGTGGAGAAAGAACAGAAGCGCCCATCCCACCAGCTATTTCTGCGTAGGAATTGATCTCAACAGAAACTTCGACTCCAAATTTAGACGTAAGTAGAATATGCTTAAATAACCGAAGTTAAAATTGAAGGCAAACGAGGCAGGGGTAGGCCCAGAACAACCTACTTAGGGAACCTAGACAAATGGGTAACAGGGAAAGATCAGGGAAAAGTAGCTTTTTTTAAGCGCATTCGAGCAAAGGAATGAATGGAGAACCATGATCACTGATGTCTGTTGCAGATCTCACACTGGATGAATGAGCCCAAAATAAGTCCAGTAGCAACGAGTTTTACGGCGCTTGCAACGCAAATTAAATACAACATAGTTAGTGCCGAAACTTAGATTAGAGGTGTTGTTAGATAGTAAGATATAATTAAAAGAGGGAGGGGAGATAAGGACGATAGATACTTGACAGGAAAGAAAGAGCAAACCACATAAACGCACCCGCCAACCACCCACTGTAGTAGTAAAGAAAACGTTCCTCTGTGTCTTGCGGTTAAAATTCACATTTCACACAATTTAACATTCAACATTCAACATTAACCTTTCACATAATTCTACATTTCACATTTTTTTATATTTTACATTTAACAGTTCATATACTCTAACGTTTAACACTCAACATTTCACATTAAACAGTTCACACAATTTAACACTATACATTTCACATTTCAGAGGTGGGCGTTTCTTCGAACTGCCACTCCGACATCTACCCAGGAATCACCGCTTTTAGCGAGGCGGAGACCCAGAACCTGAGAGACCTTGTCGTGGATAGAAAAGACAAAGTGGTGGCTTATCTCGGCGTGCATGCATACTCGCAGGTACGCTTGCACAATTATAATATTATGATTATTTTATATCTTTTTTTTCTGTATGTGAGCATGCGTGAGTGTGTGTGTGTGTGTGTCTGTGTGTGTGTGTGTGTGTGTGTGTGTGTGTGTGTGTGTGTGTGTGTGTGTATCTCTTTCTCTCTCTCTCTCTTTCTCTCTCTTTCTCCCTCCCTAATTCCCCCTTCTCTCTCTGTATCTCCCCCTTCTCTCCCTCACCATAACACAGATCCTTACCCCAGACATAAACAAACTTTATTGCCCCCACGAAAAGATGCTTAACATCCAGCTTTGACAAATTCACTTGAAATACGACAAAAAAATCGCATCGCTTGATTTGTTTTTATTTTCAGTTTTGTTTAATTTCAAATCAAGTTTTAAAACATAACTTTTTGGGGCAAATGTCTTACTTTACTAACCCCCCTCCCCCTCGCCCCCTCCCCCCTCGCCCCCTCGCCCCCTCCCCCCTCGCCCCACCTCCCCCGTCCCTACCAAAAATAAATATGAACAAACCATAACAGGATTTATTTTTTTTCTCTGCTCAACGAGTGTTTATCCAGTTTGACCCTCAGCTTTCGGAGTAATTTGACTTTAGCCCACCGAGCAATTTAGTGAGTTTGACAACCCTGCTTTGAGGTATTGTCTTCACCTTTTGTCTACTGTCTTTCCTTCTTCTGTTCTCTAAGGCCCCTGTCGCACCCCATTGGTGGTTGGCGTGTGCTCGGGTGCGTTTGCTCCTTCTTTCCTATCAAACTCAATCCTCCTTATCGCTCGGCCTCCTTCTTTTTTTATACATGTTACTCTCTAGTAATACCTCGAATCTTCGGCACGACTTATACGACCTAATTGTGTTGCAAGTGCCGTACAACTTTTACTAAAACCACCACAACTCATTAGGCAACGTACCACTCGTTGCTCGGCTGTAAAATGTGACGTCACTTGGCGGAGAAGGGAGAAAACAGGGCAAAAATGGTCTCATTTGCATATTTTCAGCTAGGCCACGAGTTGAAATTAGATTGTTGTCCTTGTATGCACCGGGCCTAATCGTTGGTCCCAGTGCCCCACAAGTGAAATTATCTGTTTTGTGAAGTCGGGCGTTCAGTTTCTTTTGTAAACGGCTGAACTTGTCTTTTCACTTCAACCCCCCCCCACCCCCCTGCCTCTTTAAAAAAACCCAACCCACCAACCTCTTCATCCCCTTAACTCTCCACGACTCCTCTAACATTACACAATAACATTCCAGCAAACAAAAACACAAATGCAAATGCAAACCAACGAACAAAACAAAAATACTAAAAACAAACAAACAACCCAAAACAAATAAAACGAAAAGAAACAATAAAAGAAGCATACAAAAACAAAACACTTTTACAGGTGATAAAATTTGAATTTTTTGTTTTTACGACTTTTCAGTTTCTGATGGTTTCCTGGGGCAACGTGTTGGGAAATTCCAGACCGCACAACTACGTTGAAATTGTAAGTTCCTCTCCAGATTGGTTGCTTTTAAGAGCAAGGGGGCTATCCCGAAAAAGCTATTTTGAGAAAATTGAAGGTAACGTTTTTGTACCCTTTTTCAGCTTCTTTAAAAGACAATGAGAGTTTTCTCTATAACCAAACAAAACATTATACACACCAGTGAAACCAAACTTCTCCTATAGGTAGGGCAATGTCCACTTTTGGTGTACGTCAAGATTTCTGGAAACCCCCGAAATTTGGTTTAGCCCGCTTGTCCTTAAAAGCCATCTTATGTGGCAGGACAGGCGCGAAATCTTGCTGCAATTTGTGGGAAGTGCGGCCTCTGGCTTTTCTGCTGTCGTCGTCGTCGTCGTTGTAGTAGAAGTAGCAGTAGTAGTAGTAGTAGTAGTAGTAGTAGTAGTAGTAGTAGTAGTAGTAGTAGCTGTTGATGTTGCTAGTGGTGGTTGTGGTGGTGGGAGCGATGGTGATGGTTGACAGTGTACCTGTTGTCATGAGGATGGCGATCATGGTCCCAATCATTACTTTCTTTGGGTGTTCTAAAAATTTTAATTTACATTATCCTGAACTTTCCCAGTCACTTATTTGCTGCTCTGGGTCTACCCCCGTTTCTTTTGGCTTCAATTTTGCCAGTGGGAGCTAGATGTTCAAGGCCTTTACGTATTTTCAAGTGTCCCAGAAACTGCTTCTGTCTTTTCCTCATTATTTTTGTCAGCAAGCGGCCCACCTGGGTTTCTTGACTTCTTTTACTGTCTTTAGTGACTGTCCAGCGTTACAGCCGTATAGAAGCCGTATACACACATAGCATTTCTAAACTTTCATTTTGGAAGTCATTGGGATGTTTCTATTTTTCAGGATTGGGTGCATTTTTTTAAAAACTGTCTTAAGCCATTGCAGTTTTTCGTTTTGTCACTGTGGAAACATTTGGCATCACATATAATTATAAATCCTAGATATTTAAAGAGATTTAACTTCTTTGATCTATCGGCCTTGCTTATGAGATAACAGAAAGAATTTGCTGCTTTTAAAATTATCTTAAAAAAAGATATTACCATGCATTCTGTTTTCTTCACATTCAACAATTACCCTTTACATTCACTTTTTGTTTTTACAGTATCTGGAAGCTATTGAAGGCCCTTTTCTGAATCTGCCATTAAAACTGTGTCATCGTTATATCTCATGTTATTACTATTTCTGTCATGTACTTAAAGACCTGCACATTTTCCTATATTTCTAAGTTTTGTTTCACTGCATAACTTGTCAAAGAGGTCTGGTGACATAGCACATTCTTATCTCACTCCTCTTATAATCTGCTTATATTCGCTGTATTCTGTATCAGTTCTTACAGCAGTGTTTTCGTCCCAAATTCCTAATAACTCTTAAATCTTTTCCTTGTATGTCTAGCTCTTCCAATATTCTAGATAGCTCACCATGTCTAACTTTATCAAAACATCTTTGAATAATCTAAAAAAACATAATACAGATTTCTGTGCTTCATTAAATCATTATATTAAGATTGTTAAGGTAAATATAGCATTTCTGGTGCTCTGGTCAGGAACAAAGCCGAATTGTGTTTTAGATATCTTTGGACTTTTTCTCATTCCCCTCATTAGTACTCGCAGTAACATTTTTTAATTAAAGAATGCCATAGGCTTACTGTTCTATGCATCTAACACGTTGTGGCGCCTGGTGTTTTAGATAAGGCTGTATAAACAGACTCAACCTCATCTTTAGGAATCTCACCGCTATCACAGATAAAATTTAACTTTTAAGAGCTCTGTTGTTATTTATTCAGTGCCTAGTTCTCCTAGCAGCTCCCCGGCTGGCGGTGATGTCAGGTAGAGACTGGGCGGGGAAATTTTAAACTCTCGTAAGCACTGGCAGAAACAAAAACTAGCGTGATGCATGTCTGCGAACTGCTATTTACCGATGATTGTGCATTACTTGCTCATGAATAATGCAGTATACAAAACTCCTTTGACCATTTTTCAAATGCATATGAGAACGTTGGACGTATTACAGTAGGCAAAGCAAATACGGATGTCCACTTCCAGCCTGACCATAGCTATACACAGATCTACCCTTCTAAAATCAAACTATATAAAACGACACTGATCAATGATAATAACTCTGAAAATACAGTATAATATGCAGTTGTTAAAAATAATTTGATAGGAGATGTTTAAAAAGACTCACTGAATATTGTTACAAAGAATACAAACTCTGTCCAAACATTGCGAGTCAACATTAAAAAAATATATAATTTTGATAATAGCTTCCGTATTATCTTTAAAGAAAAATATTTTTGTTGTTGAACTGGTAACAACATTCGGGAGGGGGGGGGGGGTTTGCTGTCAATTGTAAAACCTGCAAAATATACTGTGTTCTTTAAAAAAAAACCGGCAGAACTAACGCTACACATTACACGTTTGATGTTTCAGGACCGCGTGGGAAAGAAAATGCAGAGTGCTTTGGAAGGACATGGATTTCGTTACGAATACGGCACTGTGTACCAGCTGCTGGATTGTAAGTGTCGATTTACACCCCTCGAACCCCCCCCCCTCCCCAGACAAGAGTAAAAAAAATGTGAAAAAATGAAAAAGAAAATATCGTTTTAAAAATCGGTCCTCCTGAACACATGCACACACACAAACATACACACACACATACACACACACAAACACACATACATACACACACACAACACACACACATACATACACACACACACACACACACACACACAAACGCACACATTTTATATATATACAAACCACCAGCGTACTTCCCACTCAAAAATAAGAATCCAATAAAACGAACAAAAAAAAAAAAAAAGACAAAAAAAGAAAAGCATTCCCCCCGAAAAACACACAACAACAACCCAACAGCAAACAACCCTACAAAACAACAAGAAGCACACAATAACCCCCCCTCCCTCCCCCAAAAAAACAAAACAAAAACAAAAACAAAAAAACAAACAACCCAAATAACAAACAACAACAAAAATACAACAACATCAAAAACTTCTACCCCGCAGATGCGGCCAGCGGTGCCTCCATGGACTGGGTGCTGGAGGCAAAACCCAACATGTACAGCTACGCTTACGAGCTCCGGCCTGACCAGAGAAGCAACGACGGCTTCAACCTTCCCCCCAGGTACATCGTGAGCCAGGGAGAGGAGTACTTTGACAGCCTGGCTGTCATGGCCAAAGAGATGAGCGTGTGCCGTGCCGGGAGCGGCTATGAGCAATGTCAATCCCACGCCGTCGTTGGGTGACTCGGCCCTGTTGGTGACTCGGCCCTGTTGGTGACTCGGCCCTGTTGGTGACTCGGCCCTGTTGGTGACTCGGCCCTGTTGGTGACAGGCTGGTGAAAGGGGAGTTAATACTATAGAAGGTATCGGGAAATATAGACAGACAATAACTATAATACAGTTGACTATAATATTTATAATACAGTATATAATTTCAAGGAACACTAGACAGATAAATACATGTAGTTGCAATACTGTAGATAATGTCAGAAAATAGAGACAGAAAATACCTATATTACAGTAGACAATATTTATAATACGTTAGATCATTTCGAGAAACATAGACATATAATACTTGTAATAGAGTATCGAGAAACATAGACAGATAATAGTTGTAATACAGTATCGAGAAACATAGACATATAATAGTTGTAATACAGTATCGAGAAACATAGACATATAATAGTTGTAATAGAGTATCGAGAAATATAGAGAGACAATATCTATGATACAGTAGACCATTTCGCTAAACGTAGACAGATAATGGTTATATTGCTGTATAACACGTCGAGCAACATAGACAGACTTATAGTTATGATATATAGCAGATAATTTCGAAAAACCTGGACACATAATAGTTGTAATGGTGAAGATCCTTTTAAGACGTACGCTACATATAATATAGTAGACATTTTGAGAAACATAGACAGACAATACCATAATATAATAGACCATTTCGAGAAAGAAGGACAGAACATGAATAGATAATTTCAACGTATGGGATAATAGATAAAGACAAAACTTTGGCTACGCAAGAAGAAGATAGTCACATTTTGAGCATTTAAAAGCCTCATTTCCACTCTCTGATAATTCGCATGGTCTAAATCACTGGTTTGGTTTTTAATATAAAAAGTTAGATCAGTTTGAATTACTAGATACTGTGTTGACTATAAAGAACTGAATACACCAGTCCCCCCCCCCCCCCCAAGGAAAAACTAAATCAAAACATTTTTAAAAAATCAAACAAACAACAACAATGAGATGTACCAGATTACCACGGTTAATTAATGCTACGGAAAAAAAGTTCCGACTCCTTTTTACGTAAACCGGCGGTTATCATTTACTTTAATCCTATAACTGTTCTTCTTTTTTTAAAGAAATTATTTTAAAAAAATAAAAGTTGATGCTTCGTAGTGTTCCGAAATCAAGGTTATCTGAAATCCTGAAGATGTTCGGAGCCCACAAGGTAACCATCGGAAGAAATCACATAATTATAAAATAATTAATTGGGTTCGGAGTCGTAAACAAAACAGGAGAAATAGACTGAGAGAAAATTGTCTTTTAAATCATCTAAGGTCTTTTCAGTTTGTTTTTGACAACATCACAATGCGAAACATTATTTTGAGACATAACCTTACCCAGAAAAAACGATTTATAAAAAAAGAATAATTGTTTCCTATAATCTTACAACTTCAGATATCTTTGAACTATATTCTCGTCCTTTGATTTGTCTTGTTCTATTTTTTTTTCTTTTGTCTTTTTTCTAGTCTGAGCTAACCCTTTTATTTTCTTATTCCAAGTTTAAATGATTATTTATTTCATACTTAATTTGACTTGGGTGTTATTGTTATTATTATTTTAAAGATTCTTTTAACGTAAGCAATGAAAGTTATGAAAAGTTGAGAAGTCAAAGAAATTCCTTGATGCTATATCAATAAAGTGTGTAATTGTCATTATTCTTGTTGTTGTATGTAAGACGTTCGTTTGAGCGATTGAATAAACGAGAAAGTACTACTGCTACTACTACTACTACTACTACTACTACTACTACTACTACTACTACTACTACTACTACTACTACTACTACTACTACTACTGCTACTACTACTACTACTACTACTACTACCACTACTACTACTACTACTACTACTACTACTACTACTCCTACTACTGCTACTACTTCTACTACTACTACTACTACTACTACTACTACTACTACTACTACTACTACTACTACTACTACTACTACTACTACTACTACTACTACTACTACTACTACTACTACTATTGCTGCTGCTGCTGCTGCTACTGCTGCTGCTGCTGCTGCTACTGCTGCTGCTACTGCTGCTACTGTCAGTCACACCTCATCAGGGGGTGCCCGGTGAGACAATGTTATATTATGTCCAAACTACGTTTTGAACTCATTTCCTTTGCACGCAAGACGAATAATCTGACCGCTCTACTACCAATGACTTCGGTAGTGAGCTGATATTTCACTTGTTGCGTTTCTGTCAGAGAGGTTATATGCTGCATTGCCCACTCTGGGACGCTGAACTTCAAGGGCAAGACATGCGCAGTTCTACAGACGAGTGAGTAATTTATGAGACAAACTTGCACTGAAATATGGGGGCAGGGTGGTGTTTAAATTATATACTAGAGCTCGTGGAGAACCGATGAGGGAAAGAAGGCCCCCATGTCTGACGAGTGTGAAGTCTCTGCTGCGACCTCTTGATATAACTTCTTTGGACTCTGTTGTTGTCTCGTCTGTCACGGCGTTTGTGCGTGTTACTCATTGTGTTGTGAAGCTGTGCTTTGTCCAGTGTCCAATCTCATATTTATTATCGTAAGGGTTTGTCCACACCAAAAGCAGTAGATGAGCCGCTATGAGCAGTTCTAGCAGTAGGTTCAAGTGTCCGCACCAACAGCTGTTTTGGCTAGCTGTCCAGTAGCAGTCAGCTCGCTGGCTGCTCGTGCACTGCTCAGTATCAGCTCGCATGATCTCATCAAAAGCAGTAAAAGAGCAGTGTGTACTAGATCTAGCTCTCTCTGATAGCTCGCTGCTTGTATCGGAGACAGTTCACAACATGGCCGTCCGTAAAATATGTTTGATTCATTTGATAGACACTTCATCACTATGGACACAGTCTCTTGTATCTGAAGACGAGAAAGAATACTCGGTTCATCCCATGAACGTCTAAAGAGACACATGTAGGTTCATCTTGTCTGCAATTTCTTAAAATTGTTGTCTCTTGGTTTCTCTGTTCATAAAGTTAATGTCCTGTTTTCGCCGAGGGCATGGATATTCTTGGATTAAACTTATGAACTCAAAAGTTTTGGCACTATCGAGAGAGCGCTTGCAACTGATCGACTATATCATGATCAATAAAAGATACCAAAAAAACGGGATTTTAAATGTCAAAACGCGCCCAGGAGCAGACTGTTACCGTGACCATGTATCAGCGGAGGGAAAATTCAGAATCGGATTGAAAAGAACACACATGAGCAGAACAAGAAAATAAAACTAATCATGGCATTACTCTAGTTAAACAAAAAAATGGCAGATAAATTCAGAATAAATACACAGAACAAATTCGGCCCCTTAGAAAAAATGCCAGACAAAGAACAAGAAAGGGAACTGCTTCAAGGCATGTCACGGGTCTGCAAATCCCGATGTTTGGGGCAAAAAATCGATTTTTAACTTTCTCCATTTTTGGGTACCTGAATATCTAAAGAATCGATAACGCTTGATGTTTCATTATAAAAAAGTCTAGAATTCTCATTTAAAGGCTTTTTCCGGACAACACCCTTGTCAAACGTTTGGCGCGTTTTCTTCAGATTAGCCCATAATTTGACCATGGACAACTACTGTGTGCCCCCGTATGATCCTATCATGTTTAGAATCGTTGTTTTCCCAAGCTCCTCTTCTTTCAAATCCCTAAACGATCAAGACGATCAAGATCTGTGTATTTTTGGCAGTTGAGCAACCATGTGCAGAACGGAGGACTCCTCGTCTCGCAAATTGTGTGTTGTCTTTGACAAAACGAATCCCTGTTGCTAAAAATAATAATATGACGTCAATACTCCGTTGCAGAATGCCGCGCAACATGTAACCTCCAACAGTACCTTATGACCACTAATGTTTCTTCTTTCGATTCCACAGACGTTTGACTCTTTTTATCCATCACTACTTTCACTGACAGAACCATGTGCTTCCCTTTTGTATTTGACGAGATTTAGTTCTGTTCCTGACCCCTCTTGATTTTTGTGTAGGCCACAAAGCAAGTAATCTGAGTTTCTCTCTTTGAATGTGCAGGCTAATGAGTGGTACGATCCTAGAAGTAGTTTTCACTCTCATCACATTTTATTCCAGGTTTATTCCCCGTGTTTTTCCTTACAGTTGCCATGTTGTGTGTCATCACAATGTATTTTGTAAGGACTGATGGATAAAAAGAGTGAGAGAGAAAGGGAGAGAGATAGAGAAGGAGAGAGAGATGGGGGGGGGGGGGGGGGGTCTAGAGTGTTGCAATAATTTTGGCTATATATGTGCATTTTGTATTTTGTGTCACACATCAGGTAAAGTGAAGGGACACTGCATGTTTTGTCCAATGCTGGACCAATAAAGTATGGATTATCGTATGATATCTCATAACCTCATACATGTACTAATAGTGCTAGGGATGTTTTGCATTATTGTTTAAAATCTAAAATTAGTTCAGTGGTGTTTGATGAACTTCTTACGTGCTTTGAGATACTAGTAGTTGTAGTGTTGAAAAGTGTAGTTCTGGTGAAGCTTGCAGTATTACATGGGTTATTGTTGGTGCATTGCGTTCATTTATAAACATAGTTAGCCCACCGTTAGCAGGCTTATTCGTATGAAAATGCCAGAGCTAACAAGCACACTTTTCAAAAGAAATACAAAGCGTAGAGATTGGATCACCAGTAACTACAGCGATGATACATTATTGTTGTAAGAACAACCGATCCAATGCACTGTACCCGAAAACGAATACCTTTATAATGAGCGCACGTTCGCCGACATCGGACTCTCGGAAAAAATAAGACATCCTTGGATTTTTACTCATCCATTTCAACAAATTGTAATTACCTCGTGCGCATCAAACAGACATTCAAAGCACCTCGAATCTTGCATGACAGTTTGTCCTGCGAGTAGGTCAGAGCTATGAGTCTGTGCAGTTTTCACCATCTACAAACGACTCTTGTCTAAGCATCCCACGATTGGCCCACTGGGGAGAGGAGGGGAAGGGCAAAGCTTGTGCGTACTGTAGATCATTCTTAGCAATAGCCTGTACAATATGACATGTCAGAAACACTGTGCCACTTTAGGGTACCCAATAAGAGGCTTTTTTTCACACATGCACCAAATCTAGTAATCCAGGCGCGTTCAATGCCTGATTCGGTTCCATTGTTGTACGAATGGGTAAGAGAAAATGCGCAGAAAAACAGCAGGGGCTGTTTGAAAAAAAAAATGAACATGCATTTTCATGTACTCTTACTGGCTTTCCCTACGACTGGCTCTGATTCAGGTTTGTTTTTTTACCACCAAATGGTGATGTCATCTATAGAGTACTATAGAGTACTCCCTGTGCCAATAAGCTAAGCCTAGCCAAATGTTGCTCTATAGTACAGGAGCGTGTTGACGATGGAGAGATAAAGAGGGGAAAGCGGAAGGGGGTTCATGATATCTCTCCATCCTTCTCTCTTTCTGCTTTCCACCTTGTCCTCATCCCCTGCACCCCCTCCTCTCTCTCTCTCTCTCTCTCTCT